GTCTCTGCTTTTCACGATGCTGTCCAGATTTGTCATCGCTTTCCTCCCAAGAAGAAGGCGTCTTTTAATTTCAGGGCTGCTGTCTCCATCTGCAGTGATCATGGAGCCCAGGAAGATAAAATTTGACACTGCCTCCATATCTTCCCCTTCTATTTCCCAGGAGGTGATGGGACCAGTGGCCATGATCTTAGTTTTTTTGATGTTGAGTTTCAGACCGTTTTTTGCACTTTCCTCTTTCACTCTCATTACAAGGTTCTTTAATTCCTCCTCACTTTCTGCCATCAGAGTGGTATCATCTGCATATCGGAGGTTGTTGATATTTCTTCCGGCAATCTTAATTCCGGCTTGGGTTTCTTCCAGTCCAGCCTTCCGCATGATGTATTCTGCATATAAGTTAAATAAGCTGGGGGACAATATACAGCCTTGCCGTACTCCTTTCCCAATTTTGAACCACTCAGTTGTTCCATGACCAGTTCTAACTGTTGCTTCCTGTCCCACATATAGGTTTCTCAGGAGATGGATAAGGTGGTCAGGCACTCCCATTTCTTTAAGAACTTGCCATAGTTTGCTGTGGTCCACACAGTCAAAGGCTTTTGCATAGTCAATGAAGCAGAAGTAGATATTTTTCTGGAACTCTCTGGCTTTCTCCATAATCCAGCGCAAGTTAGCAATTTGGTCTCGAGTTCCTCTGCCTCTTCGGAATCCAGCTTGTACTTCTGGGAGTTCTCGGTCCACATACTGCTGAAGCCTACCTTGTAGGATTTTGAGCATAACCTTGCTAGCGTGTGAAATGAGTGCAATTGTACGGTAGTTGGAGCATTCTTTGGCACTGCCTTTCTTTGGGATTGGGATGTAGACTGATCTTTTCCAATCCTCTGGCCACTGTTGGGTTTTCCAAACTTGCTGGCATATTGAATGTAGCACCTTAACAGCATCATCTTTCAAGATTTTAAATAGTTCAATTGGAATGCCATCACCTCCACTGGCCTTGTTGTTAGCCAGGCTTTCTAAGGCCCACTTGACTTCGCTCTCCAGGATGTCTGGCTCAAGGTCAGCAACTACATTGTCTGGGTTGTCCGGGATATCCACATCTTTCTGATATAATTCCTCTGTGTATTCTTGCCACCTCTTCTTGACGTCTTCTGCTTCTGTTAGGTCCTTCCCATTTTTGTCTTTTATCATGTTCATCTTTGCGCAAAATGTTCCTCTAATATGTCCAATTTTCCTGAACAGATCTCTGGTCTTTCCTTTTCTGTTATCTTCCTCTATTTCTTTGCATTGTTCATTTAAGAAGGCCCTCTTGTCTCTCCTTGCTATTCTTTGGAAGTCTGAATTCAAGTTTCTGTAACTTTCCCTATCTCCCTTGCATTTTGCTTCCCTTCTCCTCTCTGCTATTTCTAAGGCCTCGTTGGACAGCCACTTTGCTTTCTTGCATTTCCTTTTCTTTGGGATGGTTTTTGTTGCTGCCTCCTGGACAATGTTACGAGCCTCTATCCAAAGTTCTTCAGGCGCTCTGTCCACCAAATCTAGTTCCTTAAATCTGTTCTTTACTTCCACTGTGTATTCATAAGGGATTTGGTTTAGATTATACCTGAGTGGCCCAGTGGTTTTTCCTAATCTCTTCAGTCTAAGCTTGAATTTTGCTATGAGAAGCTGATGATCAGAACCGCAGTCAGCTCCAGGTCTTGTTTTTGCTGACTGTATAGAGCTTCTCCATCTTTGGCTGCAGAGAATATAATCAATCTGATATAATCAATCTGATAATCAATGGAAAGACAAGGAGGAATCTTCGGTGGAGGATTGTTTAATAAAATTACAGGAACTAATATTAATGGACAAACTTACAGATTAATTGAAAGGAAAGAGTCGAACGGAGCACGAATCTCAATGGGGGAAAGTAAAGAATTATCTTAAAGAGAAATGGAAGAAAGATTCTAAACCTGTACCAAGTGACTTAGGCTTAAATTAGAAGCAGTACTGCTCTCAACAGAAGTAAAAACAAAGTAAAGCAGATTGTTAATATGGATATAAAATAAGAATTAAGAAATGTAGTATTAACATTGCGAAGAATATAAATGTTTGGTGGAAAATAAGGAAGTAAAAAATGTTAAAGACTTACTGTTTTGCGAAAGAAATAATAAAAAGTTAGTATGGCTATGTGCTAATACTGTACAGTCGTGTCCTGCTTAACGATTACTCCGCATTACGACAAATCTGCTTTATGATGATGTTTTTGTGATCGCAATTGCGATCGCAAAACAATGATTTAAATGGGGATTTTTTGCTTTGCGAAGATTGGTTCCCTACATCGGGAACCGATTCTTCACATTACGACGATCAAAACAGCTGATTGTCAGGTTTTCAAAATGGCCGCCGGGTGCTCAAAATGGCTCCCCGCTGTGCTTAGGGACGGATTCTCGCTATACAGGCACCGAAAATGGCCGCCGTATAGAGGATCTTCGCTGGATGGTGAGTTTTTAGCCCATTGGAATGCGGCGAAGAAAATACATGTTTGGTGGAAAATAAGGAAGTAAAAAATGTTGAAGACTTACTGTTTTGCGAAAAAGATAATAAAAAGTTAGTTTGGCTATGTGCTAATACTATATAGTGATAATTATTTATTTATTTTTATAATTTCTTTTTAAAATCCAATAAAGATTTAAAGTTTTTTTAAAAAGGCATTTTGTTCCATTATTCTCTTAGGATACATTCTCCTACAAAACCAGGTAGTGGATCACTGAAGTGGACAACGGAAGAAAAACAGGTGTTTGAACAAGGACTGATAAATATTGCTTATGCTTAAATTGATTGTTTTTATAATTGATTTTTTTTCCATTTTATCTGTTTGAAAACCTAACTAACACTGTTCCAGTTACAATTTTAGTAGGCAGGCAGCCATCCTAAATTCTCTATTACTGAAACAGTTTCATTCTGTTATCCAACCAGGGCATTTATTTTCATAAAAATATAATTTTTTAAAAAAATGCAATAAAGATTAAAAGTTTTTAAAAAAGGAAATGTAACTTTTTTTGGTGACCTCTAAAGGCACTCCCGGCCTCTTGCAATTTCACAGAAACAATCGGTATCAAGCACAACAACATTGTCTCTAAATTTCCATCAGCCGTTTGAAAGCCAAATTGGAGTACGGAATGCAGAAAAAAAACCCACACATCATGACACACTCCTGCTTTGTACCTTTTGCAGTTGTTTCAATCCATCTTCTGTTTTCACACATGATTGTTCAACATTGAAATCAATCCGATCGAGAACGGTACCCTGATCAAAAGAAAAGTTTATTAGATCTGTAAGCTGGAAACTAAAGAAATATCACAGGATAAATTACAGAAAAGAGGAGCACAGCTTTTTTTTTTTCCTTTTAAGATGAAAAATTGTCAGTGGGCAAGGAAACATTTAAAAGCAAGATACGGGGCCACTGCTGAAATCTTGTGAAGCAGAGGTCCAGGCACAAGTAGAAACACAAGTACGTAGAAAGACCTGGTTGTGAGGAAGACGGGCCAATGAACTCTACCCAGCCACAAGGACTGGGGATCACTTCACACAAAAGACCAGCTAATGACACCTATCAATCACAATGACAGATAATCTCTCCTCCTTACCACAACAATACACTCACAACAAGACACACTAATCACCCATCTCCTGAAAAGGACAAAAGCCTATCTCACAACCATAAATACTCAACTCCCAAGCAAACTACACCACAGCACAGAGTGCTGCTCTATGACGATGCCGGCCACAGAGACTGGCAAAACGTTAGGAAGAGCAACCTTCAGAACACAGCCAAACAGCCTGAAAAATCCACAACAACTATGAGATCCCGGCCATGAAAGCCTTTGCGAATATATTTCAACCACTATTCAGGTGTTGAGATGACACAGTGCGCGCTGATTCCCCCCCTCCCCGTCCCCACCCCAAAACCAAAATGTAATTCTTCCAGGGAGGCTGAATGGCACTGTGCCCTTCATTAAACTGATTACAAGTGCAGTTGAAAATGGAGTGATATATTTTAAAAAATTATCTTTATGAATTTTTATCCTGCCTTTCTTCAATGAAGTTCAAGATAACCCATATGTGGTTCCAAAATCATCTCCCCCTCTACTCTTGACTGGATCTAACTAGGTTTGGCAACGATGCTCCATCACCGGTCTTCACACATTTGATCTGATGGATTTTTAAACCTTATTCCCTGCTTTTATCTTTAGAAAACAAAAACTCCAAAATGTCTTTATTTTAGAAAGTAATTAGAACACCCTAGAACGCTCCAAGGGAAAAATCAGGGAATGTTACACGGTGAAAGGCATGCTATCTGTTCCATAGAACAACTTACCTGTTCGACTATCATTGTTCCTAAATCCCTAAAAATTTCATTGAGATCAGTAATGGACTGTACGATCTGTCGGATTTCTCGCTCCCGCTCTTCCACCAATACTGTGTTTTGTTGCACTAATACTAACTGGTCGTCTGTAAAGCCCTGATAAGAAAAAAAAGAAAGAAAGGAGATAAAGATTGCAAACAGTGGCTGAAATTCCACAATTCTGAAAGTAAGAGTGATGAATCGTGTTCACTCATCAAAGCCCACCATATCTTCAACCTCTTCAAGTCTACTTTTGGCATCAATCTATCTATCTCTGTATCTCTATCTCTATCTCTATCTATCACTGTATATATACTGTATATATGTGTGTGTGTATGTGTGTGTGTATATCTATAACGTTTTTAATTGGTTCCAAAAAAAAAAACCTTATGCGAAAAAAACTTTATGCGAAACACCATTTCCCATAGAGATGCATTGGAAACCGGTTAATCCGTTCCAATAGGCACGGATTGCCGTCCTTAAGCGAAAAAACCCATAGGAAACATCGTTAAACGATACAATGTATCCTCCATTGGAATGTATTGTAGCTGACTCAATAGGTTTCAATGGCTTTGCAAAGTCAATTTTTGCAAAATTAAGTGTGTCATAAAAGGGTCAAAAATGGTTTTAAATGCTTGGATTAGCTTCTGCACCCTCTAAAACAGATGCAAAAGTTAATTTGGCTTTGATATGACTTTTCGTTAATTAATGGTGAATTTTTTTCCCCCAACTTTTGACAGCTGTCAAAATCTGACAGCTCCATTAATTCCTATGGGGGAAGAAAAAATTCACAAAAAATTAATGAAGACTCAGCAACTGTTCTAAATTCTTGGGTTCGTTAGAGGACCCCCTAAGTTGTGTGCAAACCTGATTTGGCTTTGATCTGAACTTTCGTTAATTTTTTGTAAATTGTTTCCTCCCCCA